GTTCAGCAGACTTGCACATATCCCACTGCTTCTGCTATATTCCCTTCTTTTCCTACATCTCTCTTCCCCTCTTCTTGGATTATAAACACATAGTACTCACAATTCAGTGTTTAAGAAAAAGTAATATTTTGCAGGACTTACACTTGCACAAACACTGGAAGACGTTGCACACACACTCTTAATATTAGGGCAAATTATTGAAGTCTTCGTTATTCTTGCATACAGGGTGGTAAAATTGTATGGAGGTTTTCTTATGGTCCAACACATTATGTCAACGGCAGACAGTGATAAACCATAGAAAAAACTTTCAAAGCACTTGAATATATGTTTCCATACTTACAGTGGAATGAAGTTCCAATTCACCCAAACTCTTGACAAGCCTACTGAAGAAATTAAACGGATCTTAAGCCAAATTTATCAAGAGCAAGCCACTGCATAAAACAATTTCATTCATTAATTCCCACTTGTACTCCAGTTACTGACTTCCCTTGTCATTTAGCAATTCTGTTTACTAGGAACAGTAAGTTGTTTTTTTAATGTCTTCCATTAACCACAGAAATGCTCTTAAACTAATTTTTAACTAGTACTGCTTTATAACAGCATTGAAGTGATGACATCATCACTGTCTCTGAAAAATCAGCTTAACTTTCTGGGGGAAACTATTTAATCTGACCCTGTCTTTATTAGAAAAACTAAGACTATCTTTCCTCTGGGTACATACATTACTGTACAGCTGCATTTCTTCCAATGGTTTTGTTCATGTACATTTATCCAGACAGACAGATCATGACAACATTTGAATATTCTGATGTACTTTCAGGTCTGCTAATGAAAAGTATGACATATGAGATAGGTGGTATGAAGTACCTACCAGCAAGCATAAGTGATGATTACTGGGACCAATCAGATATTTCAAGTAATAAGAGATTACCAAGCTGTCTGATACACATTCTGTATAATCTTGCAGAAATGATTATTGTTTCTCTTTAAATCATTCACTTGTCATTGTTATTGGAAAAAACAATTTCTTTTGAATATGTACTGCTGAATATGACTGCTGCTAGGAATAGATGGCAAAGGTCACCATCTTAGTTTCACTTCTTATTGCTGAGAATGTCGAGAGATCGTCTTAATCTTGCAAAACAACCAACTTTTCACTTTTGATATTTTTACAGGCTCTGGGTCCCTCAGGGCGAAATTTGAACTTTCAGAGGGACCCAGTACACCAGCAACACTTGCAGTGCAATTCATTAGTGAAGGAAGCACCCTTTCAGGAGTAGATGTAGAGCTCGTAGGCACTGGCTATCGGCTTTCCCTCCTCAAGAAGAGGTTTGCCACTGGTAAGACACTGACAAGCTTATATATTCAGATTAATATGGTATACGCTATACTGTAAAGTTATAAATGAGTAATGCATAAATAGTTACGTTGCATTAAAACATGGCCAAAAGCTGTTGCACTGGCTTTTTGCTTTTCCAGGAAAATGCTGACAAAATCTGTTTTGTCTTCTGACTGAAAAAAAGCTGTGTTTATTTTTCAGGACGGTATATGGCAGACTGCTGATGCACCTGTGAAAGTCATTGGATCGAAGAGAGTGCAAGAAGCTCACTCTCTACTACAAACACTATTTTAACATGCATTAATTTTTTTTAAATGTTGACCTACTTTGAGGCTGAACTACAGAACAGAAAATGCACTTTTAAAAGTCATTTTGCAAACTTTTTATTACTTTATAATAGCACTGAAGTTAACTTCAACACTGTCTGTAAATGATCAACTGCAATATTTGGGAAAATTTGTTGAAATGTTAGTAAATTTATATAGATGAAGTCAAAATATTAACCCATAGTTGTAATGAAAGTATGAAATTGTATGCTATACTGTAAACATTAAACCTAAAAATGTAGGAGAGCGAGTGAGAAATATTTGAGCTTTTTATAAGTAATATTAATTTGTCAGATTCTTTAATTGCCAGTTTTTAAAGTAAGCAGAGGCAAAGTTTCATGTAGTTCTTCTATCTAGTCTTGCCACAAAACCAGCTGAGTTAGAAATGTATACAAATATGTAACTTCATGCCCATGTATCATATATTATTAACACGTAAGTTGGTTTATATGGGGGTTTTTTCCTAAGTGCAATGTGTTACAAAATTGCAAAACACAGCAGAGATTTACTTCTGCAGTTAGTAAATTCTATGGGCGTTGTGATTGTTTGAATTAATGCTGTAGATTTAATTTATTTTTATATGAATTGCATAACATTTGTGCCTTTTAAAAAAGCCTGTGCCTATTGAATTTGTCATTCACGTGCCTCACTTCCTTTTTAAAAATTGAGCTCTTAATCACGAAAGCACGGTGACTGTAATACAAACAACTTCACAAAAATTCCCTTGACTGGGAATTATTTGCAAGGCAGATTTGCCAAAACTGGGGATCATTTTAAAAGACGTTTAAAATACTGAATTACTTCCTCATGGGGTAATGGCAATAAATGCAGCTGTAGTAAAGGGAGATGCTTCATACAGAACTTGGAAACTTTGAGATAGTAACTGTAATGTCACCAAAGATGAGAATCCTGAAAAATCACTGAAGATGGTAAAAGTAAACTTTTAGAAGCAAACAGCATTTCCCTTCACTTTGACTGCAAGTCTTTGGTTTTTGAGTGCTTTTGGAGTTATGTGATGTGAATGTAAACATAGTGCTTTGGGAGGAATAGCATTTTGGAAGGGTTTTTTTTAGCAGCAAGATGACATTTCTGTTAGTGTATTTTTTTTCTATAACCACCATTTTCAGTATGTATATTGTCATCTAATCTGCTTGCTACAGCCTAAGCACAGAGAAGTGACTTCTTTTAATGCTAGTAACTAATTTAGAAAATCTTCTGTGTATTTGTATTATCAATTGTTTTTTCAATGCTGAAATTAAAAGTGTTTGGGGCAAAATAATTGAATAACCTGCACATGGGGATTTCATATGACCATTTTGAATACTGGTATCTATTTCAATTTATCTATTAAAACAATAAAATGTGCTTGAACTAATTAATGCAAAACCAGTAAATAAAGCGGACTGCTGAAGCTTTACAAGAAATAAAGCTTGGTAGAGGCTACATAAATTCCAGTGTATACTACACACTTTTGCAGACAAGAGTTCCATTGTTAGCACTAAGCACATACTGTAGTGTAGATTTTATTGAAGGAGTGTATTTGGCTCTTAATTTGCTAATCTTACTGAACAGTAAATTTCTAACTCAAAAAATGGTACAGTCTTGTTTATTGGAATCTTAATTGTAATCTGCTTTGCAATCAACCTGTGTTTAACATGACAATATTTTATTAATGAAAACCCAAAATGTATTGCTATTTTTTATCAAATATTACTTTCATTCTGATTTAAATGAAGTAGTTATGTTTCAGCACTTTTAAACTAGCCTTCATTCAGGTGATTATACATACATTTGCATTGGGTGCAGGTTACAATTTTGAAGCCATACAAGTTTATATACAAGTTTTGTAAAGAAATTCAAAAACAATGTAAAAAATGTGTAGCATCTGATAAAGAAAGGAACAAATATATGTAGCAAGCTGGTTCTTGCTTGTGTATACAGCAATATCCATTGTAGCTGCCTCCTAAGAAAATTAATTTGTAAACACAACTCTAAAGGATCTTAATCTTTGTGAATTGTTACTACGTCAAACTGTAAATTACAGCATACAAGTTTATCTTACAAAAATTGTAAATACTTCTGATTTTTCATAAAATGTAAATTTAAAAAAAATTGCACCCATAATAAACATGTAATATATAATTTAAATATTGATTTATATTGCCTATACTTTTGCAGGTATTGGTTACCTCACACACAGAGCTTCTAAGCAATAAGATAATACAGCAAAACTATGCCCATGTTGAACGTTTTCGAAGTGTTAATTGATTTTTAAGTTGTAAGGATAGAGTGGATATACAAACTCTGTTAGATACTTAAAAAGCACTACAGAGAATATGGGTGGAAACATAACTTCTGCAAAGAATTGCATCTT